GCTTCCTGTCTTACATTGAGGTCTTTCATCCATTTTGAGTTTATTTTTGTGTATGGTATAAGACAGTGGTCCAGGTTCATTCTTCTGAACGTTGCTCCAGTTTTCCCAGCACCACTTGCTGAAGAGACTGTCTTTATTCCATTGGATATTCTTTCCTGCTTTGTCAAAGATTAGTGGGCCATACATTTGTGGGTCCATTTCTGGGTTCTCTATTCTGTTCCATTGATCTGAGTGTCTGTTCTTGTGCCAGTGCCATACTGTCTTGATGATTACAGCTTTGTAGTATAGCTTGAAGTCTGGGATTGTGATGCCTCCTGCTTTGGTTTTCTTTTTCAAGATAGGTTTGGCTATTGAGGGTCTTTTCTGGTTCCATACAAATTTTAGGATTGTTTGTTCTAGCTCTGTGAAGAATGCTGGTGTTATTTTAATAGGAATTGCATTGAATATGTAGATTGCTTTGGGTAGTATTGACATGTTAACAATATTTGTTCTTCCTATCCAGGAACATGGAATATTTTTCCATTTTTTTGTGTTCAATTTTTTCTCATAAGCTTTCTATAGTTTTTAGTTATACATTAGAATTTTGACAGTAATTGTAGTGAATCTGTAGATTGCTGTGTGGGGGATGGACATTTTAATAATTTCTGTTACAATCCAGGAGTACTACATCTCTTTCCATGTATTGGTTTCTTTATCAAGTTCTTACAGTTTTCAAGAGTACAAGTCTTTCACCCCCTTGGTTAAATTTATTCTTAGGTATTTCATTCTTGTTGATGAAATTGTAAATGGGATTGGCTTATTAATTTCTCTTTTTGTATCCTGTAGCTTGACCAACTCTGTTAGTTCTAACAGTGCAGATATATAGTGACAGTTTTACTCGTTTCCAATTTGGATGTCTTTCATTTGTTGCCTAATAGTTCTGGCTAGAATCCCAATTACTGTGTTGAATAAAAGTGGCAAGAAACCATCCTCGTCTTATTCCTGATCTTGGAAAACAAGATTTCAGCTTTTGCCATTAAGTGTAATGTTAGCTGTGGATTCATCCTATATGGCCTCTATTACTTTGAGGTACATTTCTTTTTCTGTATCATTTGGGTTGATTTATGGATGTTGAACCATCCTTGCATCACTGGAATAAATCCCATTTGATCACAGTGCATGATGTTTGCAAAGCACTGTTCATTTTATTCAGTATTTCTGTATCTCTGTTCATGAGGGATATTAGCCTGTGTGTTCTTGGCTTTTGATGTCCTTGTCTGGTTTAGTACCAGGATAAAACTGGTTTTGTAAAATCGGTTCCAAAAATCAGTTCCCCCATTCTGTTTTTTAGAAGAGTTTGAGGAGGATTTGTGTCACTAGTCTTTGAATCTTTGTTAGGATTCACCAGTGAAGATACCCCAGCCCTGTAGTTTGGTGTGTTGGGATGTTGTTGATTACTGAATAAATTTTATTTCTATTAATTGGTGTGCTTAGGTTTTTTTTTTTTTTTTTTTCATGACTCGGTGGTGGTAGGTTGGATGGGTCTAGAAATTCGTTTCTTCTAGGTTGTCCAATTTGAGGTGTGTATTTTTCCTAGCAGCCCCTTGGAGTCTTTTATATTTCTGTGGTATAAGTTGTAATGTGTCATTTTTCAGTTTTCATTTTATTTATGTGTGACTTCTCCTTTTTCTTAATGAGTCTAGCTAAAGATTTCAAAGAACCAGCTCTTAGTTTCATCGATCTTTTCTATTTTCTCTTTAGTCTCTATTTCATTTATTTCTACTAACTTTGAACTTCATTTGTTATTCTTCTAGTTCCTTGAGGTATACATTTAGGTTGAGATTTTTGTTTCTTAATGTAGGCATTTCTTGCCATGAACTTCCCTCTTGGAACTGCTTTTCTGCATCCCTTATGTTTTGATATGTTGTTTTCATTTGTGTATGATATCTTTTAATTTCTTGTTTGATATCTTCATTCACCCATTGTTTAGTAGCATGATGTTTAATATCTCCATATTTGTGAATTTCCCAGGTTTTTTTCCTATCATTGGTTTTTAGTTTCATATCACGGTGGAGGATCAAGATATGTTCTCAACCTTTTTTAAGTTTATTAAGACTTGTTTTGTGGTCTAAGATCTATCTTGGAGATTGCTATATGTGCATTTGAGAAGAAAGTGTTTTTTATTGCTTTCAGATGAAAAGTTCTGTATATGTTGTCAATTAAGGCAAACACTATTTATTGATTTTCTATCTGGATGATCTATCCATCGGTTAGGGAGGGGTATTTAAGTCACATATTGTATTGTCTATTTCTGTCTTCTTGGTTAATATTTGCTTTACATATTTAGCTGCTTCTATGTTGGGTCTATAAATATTTTCTCTTGTTGGACTGACCCCTTTATCATTATGAATGTCCTTTGTCTTCTATTACATTGTCCTTTTTTCTCACTTTAAAAATATTTTCTCATTATTTTTGTTTACATATAGCTATAGAAACATATGAAGTTTTGAATGTCACTTATTCCCTGGTTGCTTAAATTTGTGCTTTTGTTTCCTTATGTGTAAAATGGGTATAGTATTGCCTCATAGAGTTATTGAGGGAACTGGATAAATTTTTTGGTTTTTTGTCTGAAAAATGGAGCTACTCCATGTTCCTTTTAGTTTCCATTTGCATTGAATGTCTTGTTCTATCCGTTCTCTTTGAGTCTTTGTGTGTCCTTACATCCGAAGGGAGTCTCATGTAGTCAGAATGGAGGTGGGTCTTGTTCTTTATATCAAATCACCCTCTGTCTTTTGATGGGAAGGATTAGTATTTTAACACTTACATAGGATAGATATATACTGACCGCCATTTTGTTGATTGTTTTCTGACAATTCTGGTATTTGTCTGTTTCTTTTCCTCATGTTCTCTTCCTTTGTGATTTCATGACTTTCTCTGCAGTGGTATTCATCAATTCCTTTATCTTGCCTTTTTTTGGTTATCTGCTATTGACTCTTCAACAAGGCAGAGGTTAAAGGCACTGATCCCCACCCCATGCTTTTGACTCCCCCAGACCTTAACTACTCACAGCCAATTGCTGACTGGACATGCTACCAATATTAACATAGTTGATTAACACATATATGAATTCATCTGTGTATTTGCAACCCATATTGTTCAAGGGGACAACAGTATACTTGATTGTACGTTGTTTTATGTAAGCCTCATTATAAGTGCAATCTATTTTAAGCTGATAATGACTTAAGTTTAGATGCATTCTTAAACTCTTCAAATTTTGCTCTCTCCCATCCACATACTGTATTTTTTCAACTTTTGTCCTCTAATGTTGATACTTGCTTGATAAGTGATTTTTAAAATGACATACATGATCCACCACCTTTGTTATCTCTTTACCTTTAATAGTAAGATTTATGCTTTAATATGTCTCATTGTTACTAATTAGTGCCATTTCTTTTAAGCTTGTTGAAGTCCTTTTAACATGTCTTATAGGTTTATTTAGTGGTAATGAAGGCCTTTAGCATCTGCCTAACTCCTAGCATCTGGTAACTCTCTCTGTCCTTCAATTCTGATGACACCTTTGTCTGATACAGTGTTCTTGGTTGAAAGATTTTTTATTTAGCACTTGTAAGATATCCTGCCACTCATTTCTGGCCTGCAAAGATCTGAGAGTCTTTTGTGGGTTCACAGATCTTAACAAGATTTTTCTCTTGGCACTTTTAAGATTCCCTCCTTATCTTTGGGTTCATCTTATTTGAAACTCTCCGGGCTTCCTGGATCAGATGTCCTTTTCCTTCCTGAAGTTGGGGTGTTTTCAGACATTCTTTTTTCAGATAAGTCTTCTGCCTCTTTCTTTTTCGCTGCTCATTCTGGGAGTCCTGTAATGGGAATGTTGAGTGTCGGTATGCTTGCGTTGTTCCTTCAGTTCCTTAAGCTGTTTTTACTTTTGTTTGTTGTTTTTTCTTTTCCTTTTGGCTGTTCTGATTGGGTGCATTCCACTCCCTTGTCTTTTAGTTCACTGACTTTTTCTTCTGCTTCATTTAATCCGCATGGCATCCCTCTAGGATCATTTTCATTTCAGTTTGGTGTTCTTCAGCTCAGTGACTCCTATTTAACAGCCACTTCTCCCAGTGTTGAAGGAGTGGCCTCCGGTAGGAGATGAACCTCATCTTTCTCTAGCTCTTTATGGTCTCTCAAGCCGTTGGGATTTTCCAAACAGCTCATTTTATTTTTAGTCACTATCAGGAGTTGAGGATGTGCCACAGCCTGTCATTATCTGCAGGTGGAGGATCTCAGCTCCTGGCCTGGGGCTGATTAAAAGCTGCTGCCTGAGTGTCAGCTTCCAAATCATGCAACTATATACAGTCTTCTGGGGCATAAGCCCTGCTAGTCACCTAGAGGTGTCCCTTGGGTGGAATTTGCAAAAATTGAGGCACCAGACAAGTCGAGAAGTTTTCTGGGAGATACCCATAAGCCAGAGCCCGGCTAAGGGACAGTGCATAGCTGGTATCCACTGGCCTGTGGTACCTGAGAATGCCTGTGTAGATCCATAGATGAGCGCCAAACCTGAATCCTGACCCTCAGGCCAAAGCTGCATGATAAACCGGACTCCTTCACATGAAAAGGGTGTGTTTCAGTCTGTTGATGCAGTCCCCTACAGGTTATAGCCGGCCAAGAACTTCCTTTGATTATTTTAGTCCTGGGGCACTTAGGAAACCCCCGTCCAGCAGAGCTGGGTACCTCCTGGCTGGGAGCCACAAAAAATTAAGGCACCACACATAAAAAATGGGGTACCAGATGCCTGTAAAAGTTATCCCGGGGGTAGATCCTGGTGCTACAGAATCAAAGCAGCCATAGAGCATGAAAATGGTGCTTTAAAATAAGCACATGAGCCTCTTTCCTCACAGGTCCTGGGGCACGTGAATGCTGGCCCAGGAGCCCTTGAAGAACTACTTCTGTAGCCTTAGGGACTTAGCAGATGTAAACTTCATCAGTTGTTTTTTTTTTTAATCTTTATTTTTTAGAGAAATTGAGATTGATAGAGTGCAAACATGGGAGGAGCAGAGAGAGGGAGAATCTGAAGCAGGCTCCAGGCTCTGAGCACAGAACCCAACACAAGGCTCCATGTCAGGAACCGGGCATTGGTGACCTGAGCCGAAGACGGACACTTAACCAACTGAGCCACCCAGGTACCCAAACCCCATTGGTTTTTAAAGTTGGGTGCTAGTCTCAAGAGTTGGGGTGCTTGATGGGCAATTTAAAACCCTGAGCTCCTCAGGAAAAAGCTGTGGACACTGAATTTCCTTCTGATAGTGACTCCCACAGCCAGGTAGTCTCAGGGTCTCCTACCTACTTCTATGTGGGTTTTTTCTTCTTTGCCTCACGTGTAGGGCCTACTTAGCTAGTATTTAGGTCTTTTTTAGAGGAAACTATTCCTTAGGTGGTTGTAGGTTCATGTCCTTGGGAGGAGGTGAGTTCAGGATCTTGTAACCATGTTGGACCAGAAATCCTATTTTCCAAATAATAAACTGTGTGTCCTTTACAAATCTGGGCCAGCTGGAAAGTCAGAATTATCATGAGAGGAAATTCGGATAGGCCAATTATACCAACACCAAATATGGCTACGTACGGTATTCTTCTTTCCATTTAACATCTCTGACATTTTCTTTAACGTTGCTTAACACACGGTAGTATTTGTTCCTATTCAGTATTTATCCTAGTCAGTGTCATATATACTATGATTGCAGCTGTTTCATCAACAATGTGATGTGTCCCAAGTGCCCGGCACCAGTCCGCATCCGTCTCCAAAGCCTCCCTATCCCATTTTCTAATGGCGTACTGGTAAAGATCCGTTCTGTGCCACACTGGCAACTTCAGACATTCTAATTTCTTATAATTACCACTGTAATAATAACACCTGCTTCTGGAGATTGATGAGGTCTCTAATCTAGTGTCAGAGAGTAGGGACCCACTGTCAGCTGCCATTATCAATAATACTAATTATTAATTAAACCTCAAGCATCTTAGACCCTTCCCTCTAAGTTTTAAATGTCCCAAATGCCTCTTCTTTGTCTCCTTTTCTCTACCCTCTCTCTTTTCTTTACATCTGCCCTCAACTGTTGCACTAAACCCCTGACTTCCACTGCTTTTGCATTTCTCCTCCCTTGCCACTAATAGCTATTTTCTCAAACTGAATCGGATCGCGTAACTCCCCTCAAGTGGCATCAATTTCCAAGTCCTTAGTTTGATATCTAATGCTTAACAAAATGGGCTCAGCCGCCTGGCTTCTTAGCCTCACTGACTACATACAGTCCACAATGCTCCTCAATACTCTTTGTCCTTTGATACTGCAGTGCTTTGGCAAATTCTGCTCCCTGTGCTTGGAGAGCTCACCCTGCTTTCTTTCCGTGGTATGGTAGTGATTTCCTGTTTTCCCGCATCCCACCAACATCCAGTCTGTGTGCTATTGTTCTGTTCTCCCTGGTCCAGGAGGCTGACTGCTCAGGACTAACTTACTTGCATCGCCTCGCTTTTCCTCTTCTTATTAAGTCCAGGCAATGGAAACACCTGTAAGAGATCCCAGGACAGGAAGATCCCGTCAGTCCTTGTGGTGGTTCCCACAGGGAATAGTGGATTCCCACTATTTACTGGTACCTTCATTACCAATTATTTGGCTTACCTTCCCAAATAGATAACCCAAAGGTAATCATGAGGAAACACCAAGTTAGGGGGTATTCCTCAAAATGTAACTGTTCTCTCTCTAAAAATGTCAAGCTCCTTTCACTCACTCTTTTCCAAAGAAAAGCCTGAGAAAATTTTCTACATTTCAGAAAGCCATAGGAGCATAATAACTGGATGTGACTGAATCCTGAAGTGAAAATTACGTGAGAAAATGTTTTCAGGAAATACCTACTAATATATTCAGGGACACAGCTGCTTGGGTCTATGAATTACTCTCCAATTGTTCAGGAAAAGTGTTTGTAGATATATAGACATAGATACAGGTATAGATATAGATATAGTTACAGGTAGAGATTTAGATATAATGTGTGTGTATACGTAGATCCTATAATTTCCCATTACCTCCCTTTTAATAATGGTAGCTATCAATTGACAGAACATTCTATGCTTCTGATGCTTTATGTCTAGTTGTCATTTTATCCATGTGTTCATCTCCAGCATGCAGGCCGGGAAGCTTGATTCTGTCCCCTTTACTAGGCAATTCAGTACCCTCTGCAGTACGATGGATACGATACAGCCTCACTGTCAATATGGTAGCCACTGGCCACATATGGCTGCTGAGCACTTGACATCAGGCTAGTGCAAACTGCTGTGACTGTAATACGCACATAACGTTTATCATGAAAAACCATGTAGAATACCTCAGTTTTTTTTCATGTTGATCACCTTCTGAGATGGTATGATTTTGGATGTATTATTAATTTTATCCTTTCCTCTTCCTGATTTAATGTGCTGAGTGTAAATTCTCCACTACACATGTAGCTCTCATTATTTCTTTTGGCTGGTGCTGGTCTACCCAGGTGAGCAAGTCGCTAATTAAGCTGCTTTGCTGATTCTCATTATTCCTCGGTGACAAGAGCACCAAAGTAATTCTTGCCTTCTCCATCTCTTTTTCAAACTGAGGGTGAGGTCTACTGGGCCAGTGTTCTTGAACTTCAGTGGACAGATCACCATCAGACATCTTGTTCAAATTTGGATTCTAGGATGCCTGGGTGGCTCAGTTGGTTGAGTATCCAACTTCTGCTCAGGTCATCATCGCGCTGTTCCTGAGTTCAAGCCCCACATTGGGCTTCCTGCTGTCAGAAGAGGTCTTCTACCTGCCCCCCCCCCCCCGAAATAAAATAAAACCTTTAAAAAATATATGGATTGTGACCAGTAGGTTGGGGGAGGGCCTGTGAATCAGCATTTCTAACAAGCTCCCAGGTGGTGGTCTGGAACCACACGGGATAGACAAAGACATGCCAGCCTTTAATTTGATGCAGGTGTTAGCATATAAATGTTTCATTAACTGAAGGAAAAGCAGTATTTTAGGAAACCTAATTCCTGCTAACCACTTCTAGTTATATCAAATAGTCATAAGAATGATTTTCCCAAATCCACAGTACGAGTTACCGCACTATTAAAGTAAACAAACCTTTCTATTAAGAAGATACTACTGCCTTTCTGGAAGCACACCGTATGTTCACAACCCCAGGTCAAAGTCAGCTGAACTTCAGGTCCCCTGAATTCTGGATACACTTTAGAAATTCCCGCGAGATGGAGAAAAGACCAGCTTCCTCCTTTGTGCCTAGAATTTCATCAGAATTTTTCTCCATTTCAGTTTGTTTCAAATGAAAGAATGTGTTGTCGTCTTATCTGTCTCTAGCTAATAGCACACCCAAGTTCATGTGGGCCAGGAACTGTGTCCTACCACAGTGTAGCCATAACCAGCAAGTTCTCTACCCTGTCAGACACCAAAGCAGATACATCAGAGCTCCACTAAGGGGGCGCAGGGCTGGCTTGTCACACAGCCTCAACAATAAGGAATGTTCCATAGTATTGGGCTGAACATACAGTCATTCCCAAGGGAAAATGTAGTAAGAGGGATATTTTTGTGGACTGAACTAATAGTAGTAGTAGTACCTTCCATCACGTTGGGCTGGATTGACTCACCCTGGGAGGTGATGATGCTTCTCATCTTGTAGAAGATGGAACGGATTAGATGGGAATCCACACCGGAATCCAGGACTTGAGTCCATTTCGGCCACCACCGTGCAAACCTTGGGCAAGAAGCAGAAGAAACAAGTGGGCGCAGGAGGTCGTGTCAGTTACGCTCTACGGTTCACTCTAGGCTTCCTGTCTTGTCCTCCCCTCAAGGAAATGCCCGATGAACACATTCATATTAAAGGAAGAATGGAATTGCTACATTTCCCGAAGCATAGCAAGATGGAGGCAGGGCAGAGCACAGGAGGAAGCCTGCCCGTTACCCTGAGTTCGTGTCCCCTCAGGCAACCATAAGCCAAGCCCTGTCTCCTTCATTCAGACACCCAAGCAATTCTTGTTTATCGACAGAAAGAAACATCTTTTTTTCTTTTATAGTCAGTATGAAAATAAATTCACTGACGATCTAAAAATGGACCTATGATTCTATACAGACGATCCTTTTTGCTTCTTCGGGCTATTTTTTGCTTCCTAGAAGTGCTTATTAATGAGCAGAACTTTAAATAGGTACTTGCTGAAGGTTGGGACCTATTTTCTCCCCCTGTGTGATAGGCACAATGATACATTACAAGAACAACCAGGACGGGTAAGAAATAAGTGGGTGTTATTGTTGGAAATTAGCAGGCCATGAAGATTTTCATTTAAAAAGTAACTTCTTCACACTAATCATAAAGCCATACTAATTGAAATGATGTTTCCTGAGACTATCCAAACAATGTACTTAACCCAGTAAGATATGATCCATCATTGATGATGTTTCTTACCCTGCCTGAAAGAATAGTTTTCCTCTGGCTAGATTTTGCCATCCCCTTCCATGTTACCATAATGGCCAGAAGGGGCTATCTATTAGTGGAAAACTATCACTGAGCAATAAGAAAGTAGCAGGTCACCTACCACATGAGTCCGTGTGACAGACTCCCTCGGCACAGGTGAGATTCCAAATCCTGGCATGCAGATGCAGATCCCTTTGAGCATCCTTCACATGGCTCTTTGGTGTGCATTCGTGAGGAACAAGAGTCCTCCTCTGTCCTACAATGAAGCTCTCCTCCCTGGAGTTCTGGAATGCCCAAAAGAGAGGCCACAGTGAAATGGATGTTGGCATCAATCGTAACAAGATAGAGTTTTAAGTAGCAAGAGATGGAGACCATACTTTCAATATAATGAACCTAATTCTCAAGGGCAAGTGGCTCTGTCAACATCCCGAGATCAAATTTGATTCTACCAGTACAGTTTCACATTTTTAAAAGAATTCTTCTACAAACTCCTGATTATCCCCAGCTGGGGTTCTTGCAGGGCACAGTCCTCATAGGTTTCAAAAAAAAAAAAATCATACCTGCCGACATATTGGTCACTGACCTACCAGAATGCTGAACTCTCTTTTCTTGACCCACCCTCAGGCCTCTGCCCTGCTTCTGGGAGACAAACAGCTGGAAAGTCAACTGTCTAAACAGTAGCATAAAAGGCAGAGAGCACAAAAGAAAGCCAGGCATATTTATTAACCCAGTTAAAAGCCCATGGCATGTACATAAAACCAGAAAAAAACAGAGTTGACCATCAACAAACATAAGTGTACAATCTGGCCGTGTCATCAAGTTCTCTGACTCAACATCAAACCTTTTCCTGGAGAACATGCTGGGGCCTTCTCCCCTCAAATGGCGTGGAAAGATGCTAATGAAAATTTTAAGTTCTTACTGGGGAGCCATCATGCTGATTATGCTTTTATTTCTTTTTAAGTTTATTTATTTATTTCGAGACAGGGAGAATCCCAAGCAGGGTCCGCACTGTCAGTGCAGAGCCCAACACGGGGTTCAAACCCACGAACCCTGAGATCATGACCTGAGCCAAAATCAGGGCTTAGCCCACTGAGCCACCCAGGCAACCCACTGATCAGGCTTTTATATCTGAGCACTTACCTGTCTGTAAGAAGTAAATGACTAGGTTCTAGGCACATTGTTTCCCTCAATGCTACAGAACTGTGTTCCCTTTAAAGCCAATTGTGTGAGAATCGTGTCACTACTTACCTTTACTCTGCTTCCTCTTACGCAGTAGCTCCAGCTCTCCCTGAGGAATGAAGCTGTGGACTCTGCTTGTGGCAAAGCTCAGTAAGCCCTTAAAAAATCAGGTAAAGATGAAGACAATTAGTAGGGTGAATTTGTACATCCAGTCAGATGGATATTTCTTTAAATTGGTGTTAAGGAAAATACAAAAAGCAAAGGGATCAAGTCAAAAGGGGAAAAGAAGAAACGGTGAATGTTGAGAGCTCAGTGCCCTTTTTGTGAATTACACACACATCACCAGCACCACCCTGGTCCGCACTTCCCATCATTAGACGGCACCGTTACCTTGTTTATACCTGGCGCGGAGCAGCCATATAAACCAAAAAACATTAGTGAACCAAAGGCTTTACATTCTCCACGGAGAACGAGACTATGTAAGAAAAGACATTAGCCCCACCACATAAGGTTCAAAAAGGAAACTGGGATTCTTTGTTCATGTCCCCAATGGGAGTAGAACGCAGTATAGAGACCACTTGATTTCATGAGAATGGCCAGGTTTTGAAAACCGGGTATAACCAAGGGTTGGTGAGATAAGGACTCAGGTAAACAGCTCCTCGAAGTTAAAAACCGGTAAAGCAGGGGTGCCTGGGTGGCTCCGTCGGTTAAGTGTCTGACTTGGGATGAGGCTGCCTCAGTCCTTCTCTCTTGGCCCCTCCCCTACTCTCACATATGTGTGGTCTCCCTCTCAAAAATTGTAAGTGATTTAAAAATCAGTACAGCAGTTCGAGAAAGCAGTCCACCTGTATTTGATGAAATAAATGAGCTTAAGCTCTGTCAACAATACCACTCCTGGGGAAATACCTCAGAGAAATTCTCAGCCTGGTAAGCATCACAAAGAACGTGTCCATTATGGTCGTATTTTCTTTGTCATCATAGAGATTGGGCAGCCATCCGGGTGCCCACAATGAGGGGAAGAGGTAAGAAAAAGAAGATATATGTGTTCCATGGACAATGGGCAGGCGTTAGAAGCAATAAACTTGATCCCTAGAGCAATATTAATAGAGCCTAAAAACAACATTAAGTGACAAAGTTTTTAAAAAGAGACATAGAGAACAACACTACTCACTTCCCAGGAGTGCCAAATGATGTTCCAATGACAAGGACAACAGAGGGGCAGCCTATGAGGGGAACCCAAGGGACAGTAAGAATGAAAGAAGGCTTTTTTAAATTAATCAAATTATTATCCTATATGTATTTTCCTCTCCACAGGAAGCAGTCGTCAATGCTCAAGTTAAATCTGTATGGCCAGTAGCAAAGAGCAAACTCCAGACTCGGGTGGCCTATTACTCAGCTCAACAGTGCCAGCTACCAACATGGTTTTGGCCAGTAGTCCCTTTATGGTTAGACAGGATGCATCCAAATTACCGATATCAAAAAACACACCTACCACCCCAACCATCTGAAATAAAATGTCTATCCTCCCATCTTGACACACCCATCTCCTTAATCACCTGGAAGGCGGGGCTTGCATGTAGAATTCTTGTCCTTTTCAGAGTTTGCTCTGAAACATGGGGGCCTGGAGCCGGCTCTCCACAATCCTCCCTTCTCTCTGTCCTCGGTTCTATCTTGTATTCATGCCTAGGGCTTCCCAGCTAGTACTTCAAGTTCCAGCCAGTTCTTCCCCCGCAATCACAATGGCCATCTCTGGAGCAGAGGCAGTATAGCCCGCAGTCAGGAGCAGGGTCCCTAAGGAAAGGGCTGTGCCATCCCATGAACAGGCTGTTTGGACAGGCAGTTCTGGGTCCTGAGCCTCAGTAGCACCTGGAAGGGATGGTGTGGGCTCTGAGGATGCATGTCCTCTGGGCCCTGCAGACCCCTCACCCCAGGAGGAGGAAAGCCACAACAAGTCCCCAAGAGTGAGGTGGGGGCCCTCTTGTGTAGGCCAAAGCACTTCTAGAACACTGTTCTTATGGCCCAAGGATTTGTATTCCTCCCAAATCCGTAGGTTGAAGCCCTAACCCCCAACGTGAGGATAGGTGGAGACAGAACCTTAGGGCAGTATTTAGGTTTAGATAGGGACCCTCCCCCCATGATGGCATTAATGTCTTTACAAGAAGAAAGCGCGAACAGAGCTTTGTCTGTCTACCATGTGAAGACACAGGATGGAGGTCTTTACCTGGCACAGTCTGCGGGCACCTTGGTCTCGGACTTCCAGCCTCTAGAACCCTGACAAATAAATCCCTGTGTGTTTAAGCCTTCTGGTCTGTGGTATTTTGTCACGGCAACCAAAGCTGACGACGACATATTCTTTAAGAGACTCCCCATCAGCTCTGTGGGTCAGATGCATAATATAGGCCAGCAACAAGTTTCTGATAATAAAGAAAACATTAAAAAGAGAAAGCACTGTGACAATTATAACTGATTTAGCTTTTTATTTGTTGGATTTTCAGACTCCCAGCATCTGGAATATCATACTTATGGGTAAATGATTACAAATAGCAGCCTAATACCTTCCAGCTTCTGTACTTTATGAATAAAACTTGAAAATTATCAACATTAATTGATTCTTAAGTGGAAAAGGGAAAATGTTGGAATAGTAAATGAAGATGGTTTTGGTCCACTGTTTGTCATAATCCATAATTAAACAAAATCTGTATTTTATTATGATTGCAATCTCTAAATAACAACCGGTCTAATACTTAGAAATTTATGACAAAATTGTGATTTTTCTTCTACTTTTTGGTAGTAAATTAGTGTGCAGTATTTATTAAATCAACAGTTATTATACCTTTTAAAGATAGTTAAAGATTATGAGATTAACACTATATTATGACCATTAATATATTCACGTAGTAAAATAGCTTAGAATGTTTTTAATAATTATGCAAAAGAAGAAAGTATGATTACCATAATCCTTAGTAGGCTCATAAGTATTTAATCTGGTGAAAGGAATAGACCCAAATAAAACAAACAAAAACATTGAAAAATGCTGGTACAGCAGAAAGAGTGTGAGTTTTGTGGAGTAACTTACTCCCAACAAGTTTTAGTGCTCCATCATTGGTGAAGAACTATAGTTTCATTCCTGGAATTTTTTTTTAATGTTTATTTTTGAGAAAGATCAAGTGGGGGAGGGGCAGAAAGAGAATCCCAGTCAGGCTCCATGCTATCAGCACAGAGCCCAGCGTGGGGCTTGAACTCAGGAACCTCAAGATCATGACCTGAGTCGAGATCAAGAATCAGATGCTTAACCAACTGAGCCACACAGGTGCCCCTCTTCACCTGACTTCTAACAGAATCACATGGACAAGTTAACTGACCTATCTGCCAGGCTCTACTTGGACATTGCTACTTGCCTGGTACTCCGTGTCCCCACCACCCAGCTCTCAAATGTGCTACCGTAGCCCTCAGTAAATCTCATCTGCCTCTCTATTCTATTTATCACTCATGCCGAGGAAGGATCTTTGGAAGAGGTGTCTGGAAGCTGAAACTAGACTGGCAGTTACCAAAACAGCAACGGCTTTGAGCAAAGCCTAGCAAATTTCAGTATGTCATTTTCTTTTCTTCGCGGGACAGATGCAAAGAAAAACAATGTTCACAGGATTTGTTCCTACCGCCTGGCATCCTTCAAAGACCTCACGTAGATGGTCACTGAAGGTGCTTTTTAATTAACCCAGTGGTCTCTAGATATCTTCATTAGGACTACCGTCGGCGGAAGGGAGTTCTCTGCCACACCACCCCCACCCCACCCCACCCCACCCCCGTTTCTGTCATTAAATGTGATTAGTCATTTTAACTTATCACCGGGCTCTCTCAGGTCACTTAAGGGCAAATTTAGTATTCTTGGAAAAGCATTTGCTCGACACAAGCTGCTTTAGAATAAACAGAAAACTGATTCCGCATCTTCCTGAATACACAACACAGGCATTCATTCAATCTGACGTGTACTTACTTAGCACAGTCTTGTGCCCGGCCCTGGGGGCACGGGAGTGAACTAGAAAGACCCGGTCTCTGCCTTCACGGGGCTCTCAGATTAGGGGGAAAGTGCACACGTGAGTCAGAATGGCAGAGGCTGGACATTTGTTACCCATTTCATTCAGCAAAACACTGAGTAGGAAAGGTGTTTTCATGACTTGTATTCAGATGTCAGAAGTAAGGATCCAAAATGCAGATGTCACCGAGGTTCAGAAACTATCACCTCCCCGCTGTTCCCACAGTGCACAGTGGGCTGATGAGCCTCCTGTCTTCCCCGCATCTCCAGTGCCCACTCGGGCCACAAGGGATGACTGGGGAGGGACCATGCCACAGAGGAGCAGTTCTAGGCTAAGGGGGTCTGCGTAACACCCACCAGGAAATTAAGACGAAAAACATCTGCCTTTTTCATGACTGCTTTTCATTATACTCTAAGGCAGAAAGAGATTCTATGGCCATCTTCTCAATTTGCCTATGGATGCACTTCCTTCTCCCAAAAAACAACCAGAGGTTTGATCGTGAGCCTGTCGTACTCCTTGAAGGGGAGGGAGAGAAACTTGCCACAAGCTCTACAAATAGCTTATTTCACCGCACGTACACATTCCAACTCTGTACAAGTCTTCCCGAAACCTTCAAGGACCTATTATCTCCATTTATCCTTGGTTAGATTTTTCTATTTTGCTTCCTCATAAGCTCTTCATTTCCCACCCTATCATCTTTCCCTGCAGCCTGAGAGTCTTTGTTCTGCTATGCACTTGTGACAACTGGGGACGCTACACTTTCCTGGCTGCCAGCCATGGAATTTGCAACACTTTTTAGAAAAGGCTTTGGCAATTTTTACTCTTGTCATTTGCTTCACATCTGTGGCTGATGTGGGAAGAACAAAGCTCAGGCAATTTGTTCCTGCTATCTAGCTCACGGCAGTGCCTTCCAAGTTTCTGCTCGCCCTATCCGCCTCCCAGAATGTTGCTAAGTTTCTTCTCTAGCCTGGGCAGCACCACTGCATGAATAAGAGGACATGTCTCATGCTTTCAAGGCTTTTTAACCCGGCCAATTGATCTGGATTCCAAACAGGTATTTTGAACATTTTTTCAAGCAGAAAATCCCATGCATTTTATACAAGTGTAGTGGCTTGGAGGTGTTTGCTGTGAAAGAGACAGGAGTTGGAGTGCTTGCTCTGCCAGGTACTAGCTGTACGACTATGGCCAAAAGCTTTAACTCTCCAAGTCTTAATGGGTTGAGTTTTCCCCCACGTGTACAAAAGGAAGAAAAGCACCTGTCTCCTCACGTTACTGGGACAGTGGCCCAAGGCGGTACTTGAATCTGGCATATGATAATTGTTAGCTGAATGTTACACAGTATTACTTAGAGACAGTGGATGACATACACATCGCTGAACACCTATGGGCAAGACCCATGCCAGGCGCCATGTGAAAGGAAGAAAAAAAATACTAAGTCCTGCATACGTATTATATGCCCACCCTCTCTTATGTGCGTTTTTAAATCCTCACGTAAAGTGAATGACTGCTGTCTTTGCAAAGCTTAAAATGGCACGCATGCAGTAATCATACTGTGCAATGTGTGTGAGAAGTGCTGTGCTCACACGCCGTCACAAGGAACTCCACTAAAGGGACAGGAGGAGGAGCGGAAGTGCGTAAGCCTCGTGGACCTGATCTTGCCAATGTTCATGTCTCGACCCCGAATACAGAATCGCCTCTGAAATAGGCATTCAGGAAACAGCGTATTGAGGATAAAGATAGACTCTATGCTTAACCAGCGATAGAAATCTAACTCAGTCTGCCTTTGAGCCAGAAAGGCAACTGCTTGACTTACGAAACTAAGAGGTTGTAAGGTGGAGTGAGGATCCATCTTGCGATATGGCTGAACCCCGGGGCTCCAGTGATGGCGTGAGAAAGCAGACACTGGGCTCTCATTTCTTCTAGGTTGGCTTCATTCTCAGGTAGGCTTTCACTCTGTGTTGGCCACTGCAGTGAGGGCTGACCAGCCTTATGATTCAGCAGGAACAACTAAAAGATCATTTTGGGAACATTCCAGGGTTCCATCTCACTTGACCAGCTCAGGGCATGTGCTCAATATTGAAATAATCACAAGGCTAGGAAGAGGGAATATGCCAACTGGGTAAGTCTGGGCCCCTTCCACGCCTTAGACCGGAAACTCAAGTTCACCATACTGAAAGCCTTTGGATGGGGTGCTAGGGAGACGTGTTTCCCCCAAAGAAAATTAGGCTACTGATTTTCCAGTGCTCTTGGATATGGCAAAATCAGTACACATAGTCATTGTGTGGTCCGAATTGCGGACCCTGAAGAATTGGTAGGATTTACATGAGCATAGGAGGAACAAAATAATACTACAAGGCTCTATACTGAGATGGACATAAGGAACCATCACTCATACTGTGGGAAGCAGTGCATGAGTGATGAGGCATCAGGCTATGAGGCTAGGTCAAAGCTAGATGTCAGTCCATACTGAGGATAAAGCAACATGTATCTGGTTTGGTAGAAATGTGGAAGTTACTGCAGTTTTCTCTTGCTGTGTGTGTTTAACAAACCACATCAAAACATAATGAGTTGCTTAAAGCAAGGGCAGCTCATTTCAGCTCCACTTGGTTTCAGTCGGACCGCATCAAAGGCTGGGGACAGAAATAATCTCACGGCACGCTCACTCACATGTCTGGCAGTTGATGCTAGGTAGTGGCTGGACCTTAGTTGGGACTAAGGCGGGAAGAGATGGCCTCCTCGTGCTTGTTTGGCTTCCCCATGTCATGATGTCTGGGTTCCAAGAGGGAGTGTCTCAAGGTACCAGGTGGAGCCATTCATGACTTAGTATTGTTTCCTGTACTGGACTCCAGTACTGATTTGAAGTGATTACTGGTCCCTCTAAATTTTGTAGTTGACCTAAACTCTACAGGTCCAACGACAAGATACAGTGCTACCTGAGAGGGCAAGTACTGAAGTAAAAAAAAAAAAAAAAAATCCATGAACAGAAGATTTATGATGCTTTAGGAAAGAACAGTAAAGGATACGTGTGCATAAGATATTACGATAATAGAGACAAATCCAAGAAAATATTAAGGGGCACCTGATCTCTTGAATGTAATACATGAGAAGTGAAAATATGATTGTAAATGTTGAGGTAATTATTATTTCTGGAGCGTAGTGACTCTTTTTTCTGCCTCCCTCTCATTTTTAAGGACCCATGGGATCACACGGAGAGCACCCAGACAATTTCCCCATATCACGATTCCTATCTCAGTCGTATCTGCC